CGTCGGCTGCTTCTTGTCTACCGCAGGCACCTGCTGGACCGACGTGAATGATGCAAACTCGTCATCCACAGAGGTTGTCTCCTGCTGTTCTTGTTCTTCGTCACCATTATTGTCGCCAGTCCTGGCACCACCGTTCACATGTGCTTTGCCGTTTGTGCCAGCGTCTTCGCACTTTGCTGCGAGTGCCGACGTGTCCACGCCATCGTCCGCAGCAGTCGGCGCATCGGTGGTACCGTCGTCCCCCTCCCCGCCGCTGGCGAAGGCAAAGTCGCCAAAGTCGTCGTCAGCCATTGCAGCGCGGTTGTTGGCGATTAGCAATGTTTTTGCATAATTTTCAGCGGCGGTGATGGCAACGACGGAGGAGAGTGTGTTGGAGTGGGTGGTGGAAGGCGAGGAGAAGCAAGTGGTGGTGCGCGATGGCTCCGAAAGCATCACGCAGCACGCACTGCAGCTCCTCCCCTTGCACGCCGATGAAAGCACCAGCAGGGCCAAAGCAAAGCCCCATGCGCACTTCCATCAGCTCTCGGCAAGGCGCAGGCCGGGCAAGCACAGCAAGGACAAGGCAGGCAAGGCATCCGCCGAAGGACCGAGCAGGCCTCGCGTTCTTTGTGCCACCGTTAACAGCGTGGAGGAAGAGAGGGCAGCCCCCTGGGCTGAGATGGACCGCCTCCTCGCCGACCGCGCTGGACTTCAATCATTCAAGGTGTCGTGTGATGTGTTGTTCTGTGCACGCACACATGTGTACTGTGTTTGTGTGCTCTGAATGGATAGTCCGCACACAAACACACGCGCACGCACACATGCCAACTGCTGACTGGTTTCTGTTTGGCCCACCACGCTTTCGTTCCTCCACTGACGTTATCGATGTGGTTGGCCCTTGTTCATCGTGTCCCCAATTATCTTGTCCTGTGCTCCCCCGAGCAGGCGTTTGTTGCAGATGACGAGGCAGGCCTTCACTGCCTGTATTTCTATTTGGCTTGCAAGTATTTCTCCACGATTTCCAGCAGTTTGCTTCACGACACTGCCTCCCTGGTTCGCCTTTGCTGAAATCACTGTGTCCCATATCGCTTTTTCTGCTATCGAGTGCTTGACCTTGCTGGCGCGCGCGCGTGTGTGTATGTGTGTATGCGCTTGCGTGCGTGTGTGTGTGTGTGTGTGCTCGTCCGTCCATGCATTTGTGCCTTTATCATGTTGTGATCGATTCTGTGGAAGCGATCGTATTTTGCGTCCACCTCACTGTCTGTGCGCGACGTTCTGTGACAGATTTGTGATTCGTTCCTCGGGCCCGATGCACCGTATCCCATTCGCGTGTCATGGACAACCGCCAATCGCGTACGGTGAAGACACGATGACGATCACGGTAGTGGTGGTGATGATGATGATGATGATGATGATGATGATGATGATGATGATGATGATGGTGATGATGATGATGATGATGATGCTGATGATGATGATGATGATGATGATGATGATGATGATGATGATGATGATGATGATGATGATGATGATGATGATGATAAGGGTGGTAGTGCTGCTTGTGCGTGCTACCGTGGCAACCTAGGGCTGTGGTGGTTGTGCGCCATCACCTTCGCATCCAAGAACTCTCGTTGCGTAATGTTGACTGTGCTTTTCGTGTGCATCATTGTGACACGTGCGTCAAACTGCCATCACCATGTGTGTGCCCCGCCCCACTCCACCCCAAATACCAGGCGCTGGCATCTGTACGCAGCGCGACCTCTGTGCACTTCCAGCCAGCGCTGGACGAGGCCGTCTTCCTCCTCGCCCGCCACTTTGCAGACTTCCTCGCATCCCCGCAATACGCGGTAGAAAGGAGAGAGGGGGGGGGGGAGGTCGCGTTGTTTGTTTGTGTGTGTGTGTGTGTGTGTGTGTGTGTGTGTGTGTGTGTGTGTGTGTGTGTGTGTGTGCATGGAGAACAGAAGCTGCGTGTGTGTGCGTCACGCATGTCATCATCGCACCCCTGCGTTTGCTTGTGCATGTGCGTGTGTGTGTGTAGGGCCTGAGTGATGCGACGCGGTTTGGCCACCGCCGACCCATTACTGTCGACCTGCACGAGTGAGTGCCCGTCCGTACAAGGGTGCATGGTGCCTTTGGTGGTGGTGGCGATCAGCAAAGACGTGTGCAACCACATGAGCCTGTGTGTGTATGTATGTGTGTGTGTGTGTGCGTGTGTGCGTTTTGCATGCATGATTGTCGCGCGTGTGCTGCTGCTCATGGTTGTTTGCGTTTGCGCGACTGATGTAGAGAGGTGAAGGCGTTCCTGACGCTGCCAACAGCACCGTCGTCACCGCGGCGAGCAAAGTGTAAGCGCACAATGCCACAATCACCGCTTGTCTGGATGGTCATGTGCTGCACGAATGGCAAGACAGCCATCCCCACCACCACAACAATCACCACCACCACCACCACCACCACCATCATCATCATCATCATCATCATCATCATCATCATCATCATCATCATCATCATCATCATCATCACCATCATCATCACCATCATCATCACCATCATCATCATCACCGCCACCCATAGCGCGGTCCCGGCGCTCCACCACCTCCGTCCCGGCGTGGCGATCAAAGTCAAAGGTCCGAACTGCCCTGCTCATTGAAGCGCTATTCCAGCACCAACCGCGCAATGATGCAGTCACCACGCACACACACACACGTACACTTTGCTCACCTGAACACGCCCTCCATTCCATACTTGTACTTGCACGACACGCGCACGTGTATTCCTGTGTGTGTGTGTGTGTGTGTGTGTGTGTGTGTGTGCGTGTTGCGGTCCAGGTGGTGAGCCGGTTGCGGTCGAAGAAGCGTGAGGGTGCACCGTCGAAATCGCTCTTTACGCCCTTCCGCCACGGACATGCAACCAAGAAGGTAGCATGCATGGTGTGGTTAAGTTGTGCGTGTGTGTGCATGTGTGTGTGTGTGCGTGCGCTCATTTGTTCGTTTGTTGTTGAGTTTATGCAAATGTGCGAATGCTGCAGCGATGACAACCACACCTGGCTCATCACCATCTGTGTCTACTGCTCTCAACTCAACCACGACCACGTTTGCCCCGCAACACATCCGCAACCCCCCCCGGGTCAACGCCACTTCGTCGCCACCGCGTACACCAGGACCGCGATCGCGCTGTCCTTTCGCGTGGAGGAGCAGTCCTCCGGCTGTCCTGCCACTCCTGGCGAATTCACCAGGTAGGACCATCGTCACCAGCATCGCTCCTTCCGACACCTGCGCGTTGACGCATGTGCTCATCAGTGTGCTCTGTGTCTGTGTGTGTGTGTCTGTGTGTCTGTCTGTGTGTCTGTCTGTCTGTCTGTCTGTGTGTCTGCACATGTGTGCAGAGTGCGGAGGAGGACCACGCCACGACGGCCGTCATTCGCTATTACGACAAACTCGGTTCGTGCTCGCTATCTTGGCCCGCACACGCCGCCATCTGGCACCACCTCCCATCCTCACTCACCCTCACCTGCACCGCTCCAACCACCGCTCCAACCACCGCTCCAACCACCCATCCATTGATCGGTGTATCCATCTCAACATGGCCCAGCACGGACGGGCGCTGTGTCGTCGACGCTGCTGCTCGCCCGCCGCGATTGGTCGCTTCGCCGCGGCGTCGCCTGGAAGCCACCAAACACGTACGCACACACACACACACACATGCACATGCACAAGCTCTTGCATACGCACACACGCACATGCATGTTGTTGTACTTGGTCGTATTGGTTTATGTGTGCGAGCACGCATGTTGGCACGAGACCTCCCACGTGCCTCTTGTTTGGTTGAGCTGCATGTACCAGCTACGGTGCATTGATGTACGTGTGCAGAACATGCATTGGCTGACGAGTTGTATCTGGTGTGCTCGTGATGTGCAACGCAGGAGGCCGACGAAACTGCTGCACACGCTTCGTGACATCACCGACGTCGCATCAACGTGCGCACCCCCCTGAAGTGCTTATATATATATATATATATATATATATATATATATATATATATATATATATATATATGTGTGTGTGTGTGTGTGTGTGTGTGTGTATGTGTGTGTTTCTATGTGTGTGTGTGTTCGTGTGCTTGTGCGTATATCAGACATGTATCAGCTGTTGTACGGCAGCTTCACGATGCCCGCAGCAGCTGTTTACTCACTTGCTCGCATGCACACTCGAATTCGACACTTGTATCAGCCGGCACCCTGTGCTTGTGCACGGGCTTGAGAGCGGCGTGCTGCTGACGGCGTATCAGGACGGGTGCATCGCCATCGTGTCATCGCGATTCGACACGGGCAACGTCTTCAGCGCTATTCTCGACAGGACAATTGCCGCCAAGGTCGCACTCGCACACGCACACGTCATGCACACGCACACACGCACACACGCACACGACGAATACACACCTTTACCGTGAACGCTTGCAGGCTTTCCTTGGCCATATGTCGTTGCTGCCTCCCTCCGCCGTCCTTCCTCATCACACACACACACACACGCACTTTCGCACATATGCGCACACATTCACACTTTCGCACACATGCGCACACGCTCACACACATCGACAGCTGGCCGAGAAGCAGTATGGAGTGCTTGCCTCTGCGGTGTGCATCTCGGACGGCGTTGTTGTGTTTACGCTGACGCACAGCAGCGTGATTGGCGTTGCTGTCCTTCACGACATATCCCATCTGCGCGGGTCCGATCAGGGCGACCTCGCTCTCTCCGGCTCAGCCCGCACACACGCAGACGCGGCACAGGGTGCGTGCCCTGGAGGTGGCTTGTTTGTGTGTGTGTGTGTGTTTGTTTGTTTGTTCGTTCGTTTGTTCGTTCGTTCGTTTGCTTGTTTGTTTGTTTGTTTGTTTGTTTGCTTGTTTGTTGATGTGTTCGTTTGTTTGTTTGTTTGCTTGTTTGTTGATGTGTTTGTTTGTTTGTTTGTTTGTTTGTTTGTTTGTTTGTTTGTTTGTTTGTTTGTTTGTTTGGAAAGTGCTTTGTAGCCGGTGTTCGGTTGGGATCAGTGACGAAAGTGCTCCCATCCTTACCAATCATTAACGCCATGTGCATGCGTGTGTGAACGTATTTGTGTCGTGCATTCACCAGGGGGAGTGCAACGCGCCGTGCGCTTCGTCTCGTTCCACAAATCCGCCGTCGACCGTCCCGGCGGCCTCCTCTCTGTCCACAGAACCCTCGTGCGTTGTTGCTGTTGTTGTTTTTTACGTTGTTGCTGCTGCTGCTTCTTGTTCTTGTTCTTGTTCTTGTTCTTGTTTCTGTCTTTCGCTTTGTCATTGTGCCCCGTCGCCCTTTCACACGCTCAGCTTCTTCGCACCACCACCACCACCACCGCCGCCACCATCGCTGACCTCTCCAATCATGTCGCCACCGCCCCGTGTCCCGTGTGCTGACAGGTGCTGCAGTGGTGGTCGGCCCCGAGCGAGCGGGACGACAACGTGTGCGTGTATGTGTTGCCGGACTCACAGCAGCTGGTGCACCTCCGCCATCTCACCGTGCCCCACCTCATCCACTCGCTCATCATGAGCAAGCTCGACCCAAAGACGGTGTTTCTGCTGCAGAGGAAGGAGACGCCGCAGCGCGGGTTCCGCTATTTTTTCTCCCGTTTCTCCATGCGCCATTCAGAGGTGTGTGTGTGTGTGTGTGTGTGTGTGCGTGTGTGTATGTGTGTGTGTGTGTGTGTGTTTGCAGGCTCACCGCCACCATTGTAATCATGAACTGCCTTCATGTCTGTACTCTCATGTGTGTGTGTGTGTGCGTGTGTGCGCGCGCGTGTGTGTGTGTTTTCAGGACGTGCCATCGTCTCCGCGGTCACAACCGGTGCGTCGCATATGCCCACACATACACACATGCACATGCACGCTTTCCACACATACGCACACATGCACGTGCACTTTGTTCATGCCAATGTGTTCACCCACCACCACCACCACCACAATTGTCACAATTGCCACTGCATGGCCATCACGGCAGAGCCGCCCTGTGCTGGAGCAGCACCAAAGCATCACCCTCAATCTCACCAGCGCCGTCGTCGTTGCCGCTGTCAGGTACCACGTGTGCATGCATCTCTGTGTGCATGCGTATGTATGCGTGTGTGCATCGGACGTGATTGTGTGCTGTGAGTGTGAAGGATCTGCGAACCAACGATATTGGTACACATGCCCTGTCTCTGCTCACGATACCAACACGTCTGAACGCGGCCTTTTTTTTTCAGTTTCGACGACACGCGCGCTGTTGTGGTGACGCAGCAAGGGCATGTGCACCTGATCAACCTCAACTCAAACACATCAACACTCTCCGTGCTGCCCGTAGGTCCCTGCACCTGCCTCGCTGCTCATTTACAATTGCGTGTGCACGTGTGATGTGTCGCGCGCACACATACACACACACTCTCTGTCTCTGTCTCTCACAGCCCACACACACACACACGCACACACACATCCATCTCACGTCACGTTGCACTGCGAATACGCGATGATTCCTCGCCTCTCCCTTTCTGCGCAAACCGAAACCGCGATTGCGCAACATCCAGATGGCGTATGCCACCGATTCGCCAGCGCACGATCCCGTGTGCGTTGCGTGGCATCCGTCGTCGGCGTACTTTGCTGTTGTGTCGCGCCGCGGCGTTGTGGCGCTGTTTGACCGCGCACTCAACCCACTCAACATCGTCCTCAACACAGGTGCCCTTATGCACGCACAGACAGACAAGATCACACACATTCACGCAACTACCCCCCCCCCACACACCCACACACACACACTCGCTCGCTCCATTAACACCATTAACACCACCACCTCCTTCTCCACCTCTTCCTGGTCATTTCATCTCTGTGTGTGTGTGCAGAGGATGCGACGCCGCTGCCCTATCTCGACCTGTCTCTCCTCGACATTACCTTCTCTGGTGCCGCTGGTGCGCACTGGCTGCCGGCCCCGCACACGCCGTCCGCAACAACCACAGCGCCCCCACCGTCCACCACCGCCACCACCACAGCAACAGTGCCTGCTGCCACGGCCTCCTCTGCTGCCATGGGAACACCCCGCCCCAGCCACGGCGCGCCAGTGCTGTACGACAGCTGCGAGCTGGTCCTCCTCCTCAGCGGTGGTCCTCCCGCAGTCCTCCGCTTTGAGAGCGCGGCCGCATTTGAGGGCACCGGCGATTCGGTCCTGGCAGGACTGTGCATCAACCACGTGCGAAGCGGCAACACGCAGCGCGCCATCCGCTTGGCAAAGGTCAGCAGATGGGTTGTGTGTGTGTGTCTATTGGTGTGTTGATGTGTCTGTTGGTGTGTTGATGTGTTTGTTTGTTTGTTTGTTTGTTTGTTTGTTTGTTTGTTTGTTTGTGCATATTGTATGTGTGCGCGCATATTGTGTGATTGTGTGTGTTTGTGTGCGTGCTGTGGCATTCGTTGGAGCTTCGTTACGCTTGGTTCGGGGCTTCGCACGTGACTTGGCGTGATGCGTGGCATCCGCCACCCCCCCCCCCCCCAATCGAGCGCGTCGCTGATGCGTATGATCAAACGGCCCGTTGGTGCCACAGGAGATGGAGTGGACTGCATCGCAAGAGTCGTGTTTCCACGTCCTCAACACCATCTTCGACGAGCTGCTCAGGTGTTGTTGACGTGTCACCACGCATCTGGGGAGCGGAGAGACGGTGTTAGTGTTGGACAGGAGGCAGCGGAAACATGACCCATGCACAGTGTGTGTCATTCACTGCATGGATACCCTCACCACCACCATCCCCACCAACCTCACCACCATCCTTGCTACTGCTCACCAGGCTGCCGTTCTCTGACGAGCGGTGCGACAAGGCGCTGGCTGCGATTCCGCGGTTTGCGTGGGAGCAGACGGCCGTGGACGCACTCGGACTGCAGTCCGCAAAGCTCCACATCGACGCCCTCCTCTGGCGGTGCGAACAGCAACACGGGCAGCGGGAGGGAGGGAGAGGGGGGTGGTAATGTGTGTGTTTGTGTGTGTGTGTGTGTGTGTGTGTGTGTGTGTGTGTGTGTTTGTTTGTATATGTGCGCGTGTGTGTTTGTGTGTGTGTGTGTGTTTGTATGTGTGCGCGAGCGTTTGTTTGTATCGTACACCTCCACACACACACACACACACACATACACTGAGCCATTGCTCCTCCTCCCCAGCCTTCTGTCGGCGTGCCTCACCGTGCCTGTCCCACACGTTGTTTCCATGTGCAGGTTGTTTGAGCACATGATGCTGCATGGGTCGCTGCTGCGCGCGCTGCTGCTGGCTACCCGTACCGCGTCCCCGCCCATGTGCCGCGCGCTCGTCGCCGCGACCGAGCACGCCCGGACGGCCACGGAGGTGGTGGTGCATGCAGTGGCGCAGCGCGCACAGCACACGACGGCGGGGCAGCTGGTGCCGGCACCAGAATCAACTGTGTGATGCGACGCACACACACGCACACACGCACACACACACACACATGGCCCAATTGGTGGTGCGTGCAGTGCTGATAAGGGAAGCAACGCGCGCGCGGTGTTGTGTTCTGGTCGTGTGTGTGGCGTGCGTGCGTGCGTGCGTGCGTGTTGTGGCTGATCTGTTGCTCAGCTTGCCTAGCTTCATGCTCGCATGCCAGCCCTGTTGTTTTTCTTCCCTCAGCTGTTTCCCTTCTTCTGTTACATTCTGCTCTTCGCATTGCTGATCCCGCGTCTCGTAAACAACCCGGCAACAACAGCACCATTGTGAGCGAGTTGCAGCAGCAAGCAGCACGCACACACTCACACACGCACACACACACACACACACTCACACACTCACACACACACACACACTCACACACACACTCACACACACACGCAGCAATGTAAACAAAAGTCCCGAACGTCACATGTTGTTGCTGACGTGACGAAGCAAAAGCAAAAAAGCAAAAAGGATAGGCAACAGCCGCAACTGTGATGCCTGTGATGGCAATTCTTCATTAGCGCCGCCAACCACCAACCGAGCAAGTTAACGAACTCGGGGAAGGTGAGAGGAGTCAACAAAGATGTCTGTGCCGTCGTCGCCGGAGGTGCAGTCTTTGGCAGACCCTGAGGACGTGTATCTCCCTCCGGACGAAGCCGTGCTGCCTGCTCATCCACGACCCCACAGCTCTCGTACCGAACACGACCACAAGACGGCTAGCAAACTACGCGCCTTCTTCCGCAAGATGCGGGGGAAGCATCACCACCACGATGACGATCACGACCACGACGCCGCTGATCACGATGGCCAGGAACACGCCGACGCCACCTCCCTCGCTGATGGTGTGTGTGTGTGTGTGTGTGTGTGTGTGTGTGTGTGTGTGTGTGTGTGTGTGTGTGTGTGTGTGTGTGTGTGTGTGTGTG